CGTGCTGTGCCCATGACGTGGCTGGGTGTGGGGGCTGCTGCCCCATTACCCTGGGCACTGCCACAGTCTGGTTCTCACCTGGACACTGGGCAGTGGTTTAGGATTCATGATTTCAATTGGCACCATGGTTTTTACCCAGATTTCTAATTTAACCTACCTTCTCTTCCTCCGGGAGCCAGGGTGAATGTTCTACCTGGCTGCCTCCCCTGTGCCTCCTGGGCATTAATCAGCAGGTCTCACCCACCCCATGCTCCTGACTCTTCCAAATCCCAGCACCTTTGAAATTGGGCATTGGGAAAACATTTCAGAGGGACTGAGCCCTGCTCCTGATGGCTGCTCTGTGCTGCTCCATGGTTTTCCTGAGCCGGTGCTGTGGCAGGGCTGACAGCAGGGATCTGTCCTCCGTGATTCCTGAGCGCCCCAGACACAAAATCTCTGCCCTCCCCGTGCACCATCCCTGCTGCTGGCTGCAGGTGCTTTGGAAAGCCCCTCTCTGCTCCATTCCACCCTGGCACGGGGGTGCCTGTGGGATGCGCAGCTCCAACAGCAAAGCAGAAGGCCAGAGCTGGCACACCAAGGCTGCAGAGGGCACAGGCATGGGCTCAGGGGTTTGTTCTGCCCAGGTGAGTTCCACTGCCCATGGAGCTCCCACTGCTGCAGCCCTGCCCAGTGCTGAATGGCATCGCAGGTACACCCGGCACAGCCCAGCTCTGTGGCCACATCCCAGTGCCAGGACATGGCGTGGAGAGCAAGTGCATGGTGGTCATTGTGCTGGTGGCCAGCACAAGCTGAGTTTAGCTCAGGCCACTGTAAGAGGCTGGGGACAAATTGTGCCAAAAGGCTTTTGCTGGGGTTGCAGATGTCGGGACAGCCCGTGCAGCCCTGGTGCAGCTGGGGGTGGCTGGTTGCATTGAGCCCCCCAGGCTGCTGTGCTTGCCTGCTCTGCCTCCCCCGCAGTGCCCGGGGCTGACAGGGCTGCAGCTGCACGAAGGATGTTGCAGCTCAGCCCCCTGGCAGTTTCCTGGCAATTGCTGTCCCAAAACACAGCTCTCTCTGGGAATACGAGTTTTCTCACTTGGCCTGACAGCCTCTATTGGCTGATGCGCAGGCTGAGTGGGTGCCTCTGCCCAGCCCTCGGAGCCCTGGCACGCTCCTGGCACCACCCCAGGATAATTTATGAGGTGTGGGGGTCACGGTGAATGAAGCTAAAAGGTATTTAGGTTCCCAAAATGCGGGTGCAGCAGACTCTTTTCAGTGCACAGAGGCAGGAGGCTGCTGCAGTGCTCCCCAAATCATGACCTACACCTCCAGTCCCTCACATGCCTTGGCAAACCCACCCCTCACTTCCCATGCCCTTGGTCCCTGCTTGTTACAGTGTCCGTGGCTGCTGTGTGCCCACCCTGCAGTGAACTGCCCTGGATTTCAGGGAGAGCTGCTCTGCCCTCCCCGGGAGGGTAAGTGCAGACGTGTCCTTCCTCCCGCTTCCCAGAAATGGGTGAGGAAATCTCCCGGCGCCTCCAGTGCAGGCAGTGCTGCCTGCAGGCAGGAGGAGCACTGCCAGAGTGGGAACACGGCCCCAGCTCAGCTCTGCGCTGGGGAGGGCACGCTGCAGAAATGCTGGCAGACCCGGGGGGCAATGCCCCGACTCTGGAGCTGTGGGGCCGGGGGTCAGAGCCCACGCCTGGTGGGCCCGCTCGATGTCCCGGCTCATCAGCGTCTCTGACACGTTTCCTTTGTTCTGCCCAGTCCCTCCTCCCCGCCATGTGCTGAGTTAGGGGTTTCAGTAATGCTCCCCTGGGCTCTGTCTCTATCTGGAGGCTATAAAAACCCAGCCAGAGGCTGCGGGACATGTCACCTCCCTGGGCACCAGTGCCTCACCCCAGGTAAGCGCCGGAGCCTGGGGCAGCTGCCCTGTCACCGTGGCTGGGGCCTGGGAGCAAGCACTTGTGGGAACACGTGGAGGAGCATCCAAGATCTGGGGTTAGACCTCACCTTGGCACAGGAAGCAGTGGCAGTGGATTGGGGGACTGGGGGCTTGGGAGATTGGGGAATCAGGGGTCATTGCTGGCCATGGCAGTGGCAGGGTGCTGATACTCAGTGTGGGCACATGGCCACCTCCGCAGCACTCCCAGCTCAGCACTCCTCTGCCTGCACAGGCTGCATGCACGGGTGCTTTGGCTCGGGGATCTGCCAGTGGGAGGAGTCTCCCCGGGCATAGGCAGGCAGTGCTAGGATGGCTGCCAGGGCCAGGTGCCCAGTGCTCTCCACAGCCCAGGCAGCAGCTCTGGGTGGGCAGGGGGAGCCCCAGCTCATGCTCTTCTGCTCCAGCAGGGAGCAACCCCCTTTTTGCCCCCCACGCTTCTGGTGAAGAGATGTGCGTGGGCTCCTGAGGGCATTTCATCTGGGCAGAGGGGCAATTTTGACAGTCCTGTTCCCCTGTGCCCTGGCAGAGCCACCATGACCCACCGCTGCAAGAGATCCTCTGGTCTCTGGAAGGTACAGGAGCCTGGGCAGGACCAGCACCACACCCTGTGAACACCTGGGAATGTGGCTGCAGCATCTACGTGGGGCCTCCACACCCCCGGAGCCCCCTGACTCCCTCCATCCCCCCCCAGATCGCGGTGTGGGATGAGCCTTTTTTCCAGGGCAAGAAGCATGAGTTCACCACCGACTGCTACAGCACCCTGGATCATGGCTTCAGCACCGTCCGCTCCTGCAGGATCGAGAGCGGGGCGTGAGTGGGGGTCTCGGGCACTGCCACCTCGCGGTGCCGCGGGACCCCACGGATGGAGGGGGTTTGGGGGATGGAGGTATCCAGTGCCTTTTGCCACCTGAGCCATGTGCACAGCGGGCACAGCCCTGGGTGTGAGTGGGACAGTGGGCACCCCGAGGGTCTCAACCCCCTCCCGCCCCGGTAGGTGGGCAGGCTTCGAGCACTGCGGTTTCCAGGGGCAGCAGTTTGTGCTGGAGCGCGGCGATTACCCGTGCTGGGAGGCGTGGAGCGGCAGCAACGCCTACCACGTGGAGAGGATGTGCTCCTTCCGCCCCATCGCCTGCGCCGTGAGTGCCCCCGCCCCGGCTCCCCCCGCGGGGCCGGCCAGGTGAGCCGGGCAGGGCGGCCGTGCCAACACCGTGCTCCCCTTGGCCGCAGGACCACGGGCGCAGCCGGCTGATGCTCTTCGAGCAGGAGAACTTCCAGGGCAAGCGGGCAGAGATGAGCGACGACTGCCCCTCCCTGCCCGCCCTGGGCTGGGGCAGCAGCACCGTGGGCTCCTTCCTGGTCCGCTCCGGCGCGTGAGTACCCGGGGGCTCGCACCCTGCCAGGACCCAGCACCGAGGCACTCGGCGGGGCCGAGGATGCTCTGGCAGCTTCTGGCACCCGCAGAGCGGGGGCTCCACGGTGCTGCCAGCCCTGAGCCACCGCCGTTCTCTGCTCTGTCGCAGGTGGGTCTGCTCGCAGTACCCGGGGTACCGAGGCTTCCAGTACCTCCTGGAGAGCGACAGCCCCGCGGGCGAATACAAGCACGTGCGGGAGTGGGGCTCCCACGCGCAGACGGGCCAGGTCCAGTCCATCCGCAGGGTCCAGCAGTGACCGCGGTGCCGGAGTCCCCGCACCACTGGCCACGTGCCCTGGGCACCGTCTGTCCCGCGGGGCAGCGGGGGCAAAGCTCAATAAAGGCTCAGTTGTCCAAGGTGGCACTGGCAGTTGGGGAAGGGGGGACCATGAGGGTGTGTGGTCGGGAGTGATGTCATGTGTGGAGGCAGAGTGGGGGGTCTGCAGGGGCAGGGATTGGGTGAGTGGGATCTTTTCTGCCCCTGCAACCAGCACACGTCCCTGTCACAGGCAGGTAAAGTTCTGTGCCACCCCAGCTGCAGGCTCAGGGGCTCTGCAGAACCCTCACATCCCACTACCCTGTAGACCCCATCTGCTCCACCAGAACCTGCCAGGGGCTGGAAGGAGCTGCAGGACTCAGCAAATTGCAGGTGCATGCTGTGCACCTATCCCCACATTCATGCACACCCCTGCACCCATCCGAGCACTGATCCCTTACTGCCATACACCCAGTGTGCAGCCAAAGCTGGAAATGTGGCAGGAAAAGGCTGGTCTAGAAAAATTCCACATTTCAGAAGAGCTCTGGAGAAAAGGTTTGATGTGATGAAAATGTCCCATCCATGACATTTGCAGTAGCAGGGCCACCAGTGGAGGGAATGGGGAATGCTGCCCAGAAAGGGATTCTATCCGCTGGAATCACAACAAAAAAGGCAAAATAGAAGAAGAAACAAAAAGTTTTGGGAAGGGCTGAGTGAAACCCTCCTGCACCCCAGGGCAAACCCGTCCAGGGCCGGCAGCCAGCGAGACCCAAGGAGTGGAGTTTCCTGGCCTCTCTATGGACAAAGATGGGGGGACCCTCGTCCTGCCCCCTCCCCCCTGCAACCCTGTCTAGTTCCAGAGCCCCGGGGCGGGGCGGGGGGCTGGGTGAGGATCCAGCACACAGCCAGACACGGTGGACAGCTGGCGGCGGGACCGGGGGTCCCCAGGGACCCGGCAGGGACCTGGAGAACAATGCAGGAGCCCAGCAGCTGCACAGCTCTGAGGAGGGGCTGTCACAGCCCTCTGACTGGGAGTGGGGCTGTCCCCGGGATGGGGGGGCTGTCCTCCGGCAAGGCTGTGTGCCCAGGCCGGGCTGGGTCTCTTTGCCATCCCCCCTACCGAGCCCAGCCACATCCTGCCCACCATGGCCCCAGGGATGTGCCTGCAGCAGCCCCTGCCCAGCGACCCTTGTCCCCTGTCCCCTGGGCCACCCCAGGGCTGTGGGGTGCCCACACCACCCCAAAGGGCTGTGGGGAGCCTGTGACACCACGGGGGACGGTGTCCTGGCAGGGGGGATGACAGTGGCCTTTCTATCGGCTATCGTGGCAGAGGGGTCCCCGGGGTCTCCCGAAGCGGGATCGGTGCAGAGAAGTGCGGGAAGGGTGCGGGGAGCGATGCGGGAGCAGTGCTGGAAGCGATGCGGGAGCGATATGGAGCGGAGAGCGGTGCGGGAGCGCTGCGGGGGGAAGGTGACTTGGCCGCATTTCCAGCATTAAAATTTAAAGCGAGTTGCAGCATCCTCCTACGCCGTAGGTAGGGCCGGGGGGGCCGGGGGCTGCGGGAGGAGGAGTTTGCGTGGCCGCCTCTTCCTCAGGGATGCTCTGGGAAAGCTCCAGCACAAAGGAGCGGCGCGGCGGGCAGAAGCGAGCGGAGCCGGCGCCCCCCAGCCCCAACCCGGCCCCCGGGAGCAGGTAACGCTCCGCGGACATCGCTCCGCTCCCTCCGGATGGAGGTGGGGCACCGGTGGGGTCTGGGGGCGCGGGGAGCCCGCGGGCCGCCCCCACCTCGGGGCGGGAGCGGGGGGCGATGCCGTCCCGGGGCTCGGGGGGTCCTGCGGGCATCGCTCCGGGGGTGCGGAGCCGACAGGCGGGACTGCTCCTGCCGCTCCGTCTCCAAAAAATACACCCCACCCCTCCCATATATTATTCCCTGATTACATATAATCCCACGAGAGCCTCGCGCCCCGGCAGGAGCCCCCGCTTCCCGGGGGTGCCAGGCTGGGGCAGCCCGGGCCCCCTCCCTTTGTTAGGGCAGGGGCAGCCGCTCATCCCGCAGCGTGTTCCTGGCCGCTTCCCGGCCCGGCGGGCGATCCCGCGTGATCCCGGTCCGGAGGCGGCACCGGGCAGCCTGGCCCACCCCGGACACAGCCTGCAGCCCCCGGCCCAAATTAGAACTAACTGCTGCACCGCTTGTTTGTATTTTTTTTCAGAATCCTCACCAAGAATAGGGCTCCTGCCAGGTAAAGGGATTCTTGCCTGCTTTTCAATGCCCCTGGGAGGAACTGTAGCCAAAATGCTGGTTTACTGCTTTGTCTCCTAATCCCCATTTTCTCCTAAAGCTGGGGATCCTGGGTGGGGATTAGAGGCGAGGCTGGGGCCAACACTCCTGGGGCACAGCACAGCCCCTCCTTCAGAGTTAACCTGCCAGATGCTCCTCTTGCGGAGCCATTTTCTCTCCCTCATTGTCTTGCAGCCTTTTGTGTGTGTGAGTAGGTCCTGCCCAGGGACCCAGGAGGAGCCCAGAAATAATCAGGTTTTCCGATGTTCTGGGTTTTCAGATCCTCACCCTCCCTTCTTCCAGGCTGTCCAGCCTCAGAGCTGCAGACAAAGGTGGTAGTGCCTGGCACTGCTGCAGCAGCATGGGAGCCTGGGATGTGCCAGAGCCTGGGCTCTGCTGGATAGCAGCAAGGGTCAGGCAGCGCTGGCAGGGCCCAGGGCAAAGGTATTTGGCCACCCTGCTGGGAGCTGGGGGACTGGGGTGCCCAGATGCCACATCCCAGAGATCATCTCTCTCGGCACAGGCAGCTCATGACAATGCCATGCCTTCTGTGGCCTTATCTCCCTGCTCCTGCCTGCTGTGGAGCCTGTGCTCCCGTCCCTCCCTCCTCATTCCAGGGGGGGTTAGCCCCTGTTTAACCCAGGTGCTCAGCAGCACCGTATGTGCCACCCACCCTGTGTGGCAGAGGAAGCTCTGGCTCATGGCTGGCAATCACTGCTCACTGTGCCCCAGACAGAGTGTTTAGCTGAGCCCTGCCTGCACAAAATTGTTTTCCCTCCCTGTCTCTTGGGATGTGTTTCATTCCCGGGTGAGAGAGGCCATCCCACAGCCATCATGTCCCGCCTGCCCCCCACAGGCACCTCCCGCTCAGATCCCACCTCCCGCTCAGATCCAGGCAGGGGATCCATTTGCCAGATGCTCGATGGCATCTCCGGAGCTCATTCCCGCAGCTGGGTTGCAAATGCTGCCTGGACGTGCTGTCCCCATGGGAGGGACTGTCCTGCCAGCAGAGCCTGCGGCGTGTGGTCACAATGAACCGCGGGAAGCAGGAGCAGCTCCGCAGCTGAACATGCAGAGTCATCACGGCCCAGCTCCCCCAGGACCTGCTGCAGTCCTGGCTTTTCCAGGCAGGCAGGGCAGGAGCAGGAGCAGGGCAGCAGCAGGAGAAAGGCAGGAGCAGGA